TTCCTCCTAAATTTTGAGACTTAGATATTTGCTAATGTAGAATTCATGTTTTTGCTTTAGGTTTTAAAATGTGTTGAATTTCAAAAATGCAAGATAAATTATTTTGAAATGAAAACAAAAATATAGTATAACCGTTTATTCATTGGACAAATATTGAGCACCTAATGTGCTAGTCACTATTTTAGACACTGATGTAAAACAGTATTTCAGGTTCATTTAAAATTTTGAGTGTGAAGTTTTGGTATTAAGTTACCAAATATTTGGAAGGAAACAACAAAAAAATTACTTTTGTATTCTCATTACTGCTGCCTATTTAATCTTTAGGTAGCTCTTTATGATGAAGAGATAATGGGTTTTTTAATCAGCTAACTTATGTTCTAGTTATGATTATGCCAATTCTGTAGCATAACTTTTATCTCCCTGAGTTCTTCATGAACACATGGAAAACAGAAATTGGATCATTTGTGCTCAGGGATCGCCACTCAGTGATGGAGAAATCCAGAGCAGAGAGCAATTTATTCATATTCATAGTCAGGTCAGTTATATTCCAACAACTCTTCCTTAGCCATCTTTGCTGTCTGCTCCTCCCCTGCCTCCCAGTAATTATTGCAGAGCCGGAGGACTCAGTTCTCTGATCTCGTCCCTTCTCTATTCTGTTCTTATTCCCTAGGTGAGCTAATGTAACTTAATGGTTCCTGACTCATGTTTAAATGTCCCCACTTGGTTGTTCACACTTATCACATCTGAAACAGAACTTTCCATTTCTATCAGGAAAGCAACTCACTCCCAAGTGTTTTCCACCTTTGTCAATGATCACCTTATATAGGGTGTTCAGGCCCCAAACCAAGAAACACCCTTGATCCTCTTCTTTTCTTCACATCACTCGTTCAATCCATTGGCAGTTCTGGCCATTTCAACCTTCAAAACCCTGACTACTTCTTCCTTCCTCTGTCTCTGTCATCTTAGTCATAACACCAGCACCTCTTTCCTGGAGTACACCCTTTTTCCTTCCCTTGCCCTTCTGTAGTTTGTTTTCCACACAGCAACCAGAGGAGTTCTCTCAAAACAAGTCGTATAATGGTATTTTCTTACCCCAAAACCTTCCATTAGCTTCCACAAAACTCTTTAGCATGTTTCACAGTTCTTCTCTGACTTGATGTCCCTATTGCTGTTTTCCTTCTCACTCATTCCCCTCGAGCTCACAGATCTTTTTGGGACTCCCTGGCTTGTTCCTACCTCGGCCTTCGCAGACTACAGACATTTTTCATTTCCTCTTCCTGAAGAGTTCTTCCTTCAGATATGTATTGTTGTTTACGTATCTATATCATTAAAATCAGAAATGTTTTGGAAAATATATATTTTAAAATATAACAGCTCACAAAAAACTGATGTGGTTATAGGCATATAGCCCTGTGTTTGGAGCCCAAAGATTACTATTAATAATTAACAACAATGCAAAAACAAAAAACCGAAAGAAGGCCTGCTGAGTTATGGAAAATGCCACTTGTGAAAAAGGTTCAGGTAAATCTTTTATGAATGGACTCTGAGTCAGTAGTTCCATTAATTATTAGGAAAAAGTCCTGGATGGAATTTGGCCTTTTCCTTGAAAGTTATTACAGATGCTTGGATGCCCCCAAAGAACCAAACAAAATTGCCCCTTAGCTTTAACTCAGGGTTACAGGAACAAGGCATTCTGCCTTGTTATGAAATAACTGATTTTTAAAAATGGAATGTGTGTAGGCAAATGTTAGTAAATATTCTATAAATGTGTGAAGTGTGATTGGGGATTTGTTCAACCAGAATAATTATGTGTATTATTGAAGACAAAATTCAATTAATTAGTATTAATTGGCAATTACTTTTACTGGCACAGTTTTCAGACATTGTTGGCTATTTTAAAGTAAAATTTATTTCTATTTCTGTAAAAATAGCTCACATTTGTAAAATACTTAATAGCCTACAAATGTTTATACACATTATTTTAACCCTTGGATCAACCTTGGGTGAAGTAGGCACTATTATTGCTGCTTTAAGATGAGGAAGTGGAGACTTAGTTCACAGGATTTGCCCTGAATTGCATAACCAGCAGACAGTGTAGTTTGATTTCAGACTTAGGTCTTCTGATCCCGAAACCAGAGCCCCTTCCACAACATAATGCCAAAGTTGAACCAGCCAGAGGAAAACACGTCCGAGACACAGTGGCAGCTCTGTCTTAAGCATATGTGAAGCACTCAGTGTTCCTTGTTGACCTGAGAGATTGATTGACTACAGCTAAGTGTCTTAGGATGCTGAGCAGTCAGTATCTCAGGAACCTGATTGCCGTGGAGTCTGCTTAATATGACCATCTGATTTTCATTGTTTCCTGTAAAAGTAATATGAATTGTTGATGGCAGGAAATTCTAACTAATTTAAGTCGTAGGTGTGTGTAAAAAGATCCAGTGAGTACTTTGATTATTAACTTTATAGGTGCAAAGCAATTTCACCACATTGACATTCTTTTCAAACTAATGAGAATAGTCATTTTCTGGCATATTTCCAATAGAAAAACCATCTTTCAAGGACCAGGCTTCAGAAAGAATCAGGATCTATGGATTACCATTTACTAACAAATTAAGTACAGGATTAACATTAACTCAAGAAAACTCATTATCAGTCTAGAAATTAGTAGAAACTACCAATGAGAATTTTAAACTTTGTATTGGAAATGATTCTTGCCAGTTTTTTTCAACAACCATTTTCCTAAGAAATAATAGGTAGCAAAAACAAGTGTCTTTTTTTTCCTGTTAAATAGAAAAATGTAAACTATTTCATCATTTTGGAAACTCATGTAAAAGCTTAATTAAAAAATGTTTTGAAGGAGGAAGGTGACTATACTATATAGTAGATAAATTTATGAAAAATGTATTTAAATGCCACCTTATGAAATGCACCCTTGTACTTGCTATAGAAGATATTAAAAAGTATAAGAAGAACCCCATTTCCCCCAGAAGCTCATTTGACAGATGTTAGAGATAACACCCACACACACACACCCACACCACACATTTGTGTTGAAAATTTAGATGACAGTATAAGAAATTATGTGGGTCAGCACCGAGTGGTAGATGCAGATAGACGATACATTCTGGAGACACTTGCAGTGCTGATCAGAGTTGCCTTCCTGAGGGACTGTGTAGAGTAAGAAGAATATTCTTGGCAAAAAGTCTGTGAGCAAGTGCCTGTCAATGGGAAAGAACCAGAAACTACTCTCTGAGAGTAGAAATGAAGGACTGGGCTTCAAATAAAACTGGGACTAAGATTATGGAGTCCTTGAAGGAGAAGATAAAGTAAGACTTTTAACATTCAGAATATTTTTCACATTTAAATTGCTATGTAAACAAAATGTCTAAAATTTGTTTTTAAGTATGTACTTTTGCATGTGATATATTATCTATACTGTTTTGCCTCATTTTCTTATTAAAATCCATTTATTCTGTGAGTTATGTTTCTCATCAACAAAGAATAAAATATATTTGAAAATACCCCAAAGAGCAAACTTCTGAATCTGTCACAGAAGATATTTTTCTTCATTTTCAATGAAATAGCTAGCAAAAACTTTATTGATATTAATCCATACTTTTGTTTTAAATGGGAAGTTCGGTCTTTAAGTTAAATGTGGAAAAATATCAAATCAACTGTTTTCTTTCGGGTCTACATTACAGTCTTATACCTGTGTTTTTATGAAAAGAGCAGGTTCTCCTGGGAAGGGATGGAAACCATCAGCAGAGCCTCAAGAGACAGCTTCCCCCTCTAAGGCAGAAGAAAATCTGCACATGGAGCTATAAGTCTTTTCCTTTTCTGAGTAGGAAACTTCATAAAATATTTTTCTGTTCCTTCTTTATGGACTATACAAATGTAAAACTTTTTCCTATGCATTTATTCTGAAATGGCTTGGCTTTTCGGGTAGTCTGTGAGGTTAGCGTGTGCCATTGAGGTATGTGAGTGCAGCTGGAACGTCCCCCAAGATGGCAGAGAACGGGGAACCGCATCTGCAGCGTAGGGCCTGGCATGTAATGAGGGCCTGTGACTGTTTCTTGAACCAACGATGAATGAATCAATGGCTAACGTTAATTACTTACCACCTAGCATGAATAAGGACTTGTTATGCCTTCCTCATGCATCCTTACAACAGCTTCATGTGAACTATACATCCTGGTACCTATCTGTGTGTGTACCCCAGCTGTCCTTTGTAAGTTCCCTCTGAGAGAGGGAGTTACCCATTAAGTGAATCCTGATCAACCAATTACTGCTTTGGATTTTTGCTGCTTGAGCAATTTTGCATCATCTAGAGAATGTCTTGTATATATAGCGTGCCCAAACATTTGTTTAACTAATAAAATAGTATAACTGATTATAAGTATAAATAATCATAGGTAGATATTCAAGCAACAGTTTCTGTTTGACTTTGGAATATGTTATGAATTTCTCAATGCATACTAACTTCCTGGTTTTTTCATAACAGTGGGTTGGTGTTCTTTGAAGAGGCATGACTTAAGTACTTTTAACTTTGTGTTCAAGAAGAGCCTTAAAAGTATCCTTTAGTCATTACACAACAAACACACACCTATTTGATATCTTGTATTATATATTTTATGTACTATTTTACATTGTATTTTTATATATGTAATATATGACATTTTAGAAATAAAATATATTTTACTTTAGGAATATGATACATTCTGTTTGTCTCATACTCTCTAGAGTATGTCATGAGGAAAGAACTTGGTTTTGTTTACCACTCTATCCTTTCATCCAGAAATATGCCTGGCATCAGTAAATGTTGAATTAAAAAGCAAGTGCTTTGAACAGCGTAGTGACTATAATTAACAGAAAGAAAAAGTAAATGCTTTTTCTAATTTTCCATGTAAGTTAGTAAATGTTCTAGTTTAATTAAAAGTCATTAATTTTTAGTGACTGGAAAGCTAGATCTTATTTTTTATTTCCTTTTTTTTTTCCTTCAGGAAGAATCCTCAGCACAAGATAGAATATAGACACAGTACACTTCCAGGTAAGAAATTTTACTAAAGGGAATTCTAAATGAAACCTTCAAATGAATCTACTATTAAACCTACATAGTTTCCAGTGATTATGATTTTTCCCCAAAATTTCTTCTATGAATTTGTTGAATTTCTAATTTTAATAATTTTTCTTTGATTAAAAAAATGTAAAATTTTTACATACCAAATATTTTCTGCAATCATTATATAATAATATATATTTGTCTTTGTATCTGTTAGGATTCTTTTCTTTGTAAGTCCCTGAAGACAAAATTAAAAATTGGTCTAAACAGTAAAGAGAACTTACTTCTATAACTGAAAAATCCAAATATAAATCTGCATTTAGACATAATTTATGCTTTGGCTCATTAATATTCTTAATAATGTCACCAGTGACCCAACTTTCTTTCATCATTCTGTCTTTAGATGGGTCAATATTATCCTAAGACTGACTTCTCCCCTGTCCTTATTCAGCTGGGATGATAAGCACCCATTTCTACATTTTAGGGGAGAGAGAGAGAGAGAGAGAGAGAGAGAGAAAATAAACATTAAGTCATACTATTTCTAGGAAAAAAAATTATAAAATTAACTTTTTTTTTTTTTAACTGGCTTAGGTCACATTCTTTCTCTTGGATTGTTTACTGTGGACACTGATGAGTTTGTACCAGCCTTGGAACCAGGGTAGAGTCACCTCCTTCAGAACCACAAGGATCCCCAATAAAAATTAAAGTTTTGGGGAAAGGAGAAGGAGGGGATATAGACACTAGACAAGCAACGATCAAATGTCCATCAGTCCTATTTACATCAGTCTGTTTTACCTTCTGTTTTTCCTACATCTGAATTCTAATGTTTTTTTCCCTGAACAAATTCTGGCTTCTTTGTATCATTGCCAGAGGCCAGTTCAGTGCACAACATTTCTGCCCACAGTGAGAGAATAAAATGCATACTATCCAGGCTATGCCTGCGTGTATCTGTATGTGTATAAACACAACCAACTTGTAACCAAGGGATAAAAACAATTAATTTCACCATTGGGAATTCCATTTGATGTCTCTGACTGAAACACACTTTAGTACTATAGTACTCCAGATACCAGTATACTCATTTTATCTGGAAGTTATATGTTATACTTTTTTTTTTTACTGAGGCTGCATCCAATGATGTGTGTTTATGGTTCTTAACTTCCTTTCCAGCAATGATATAATAATACTGATTAAAATTATATTTTATTGATGAAGGTTAGCATTGTTCCATGAAAAGAACGTTTGACACATCTGTGTATCTGCCCAGAAATAAGAACCGTTTTCCTAAACACTATCAACATGTATCATATGGCACAGTTAAAAATGTCTGAATTTTCTTGGAAAGTCTCTTTGAAGTATGTTCTGTATGAAGGACATATTTTGAGAACAATGGATTTTTAAAGAAAATCTTTTTATTTCATCGGTAAACAGTTTTTTAAGGAAGTATAGATATTATGAAGCAACAGTTTAGCCTTATATTTTTTAAGTACTTTCCAGAGTTGTTATGTAGCAGCATAATTAGAACATCCCTTCCTACTCTAAAACCTATAAACTTAAGGTATCTGGAGTATTTTCAATATTAATTTAAATACTGAGTTCTCATATTCTTTAACTTAGTGATATCTGACATAATTCTAATATACTTGCCTTCCCGTTTCCCACATCCTTAACGTTTAACATTACCCAAGTTCTCATTTATGTAATGGTTCATTAACTCGTGCACTCACTCTACATCTAACAAGGGAGCAAAGTCACAGAGAGACAGGAGATGCGCTAACACCGGGAGGAAGGAGGGAGCGCCTCGTGCCGAGGTTGTCAGGGTACACCAGTTGTGGGGACTGTAAGTGAAGTGGGTCTTCAGGGTGCTAGGATTTCAGTCATCTTTGTTCCATAGCTTGTGGTGGGTGGGCTTAGGACATCCAAGATGAAATGAGTGATAGATCACTTAAGGACATCAAGATAGAAGATGGTTAAGTTGTGTTTGGAGTTAGCAAGTGGATTGGTTTAACTGACACGGAGTCTCTAGTTCCCATGGGTGACACTGAAAGGGTATATTGAGGCCAGGTTATAAAAGCTTGTAAAAGCTAGAACACAGGTGTGGATGGATCGGCAAATAATGGTGAGCTAGTTTTACCCAAATGAAGCCGGTGACGACGAGCCGTCTGTATCAGAGTCGGGAAGCCTTCTGCAGATTAGTTCGGTAGTTGAATAAAGTGCCGGAATTAGGCCATCGTGAGAGTGGAGAGGTGGGATTGGGTAAGAGTGAGATTTGAAACAAGTTTTGCCAACTGATTGGTTATAGTGTGGGGGCTGGCGTGAGGTAAAGGAAATAAAGATGACTCAGGATGAAAGTACGAATTATCAGGAGACTGGGGCTGACATTTATGTGTAATAGGTCAGATTTTAAAAAATTAAACATTGAGGTGGGGTATCATCACTATATAATGAGACACTATAATTTAATATAATACTATAGACCAAATACTATAGAATTTCATGGTATAAAATAACAGCATTAAACTCTTACTATTTAATTTCTTATTTGTAGCACACCTAAAACACTTCCGTCTATTAGGTTCTTCCACATATGTCACCATTTATAGCATGTGTTCTGTTTTGTAGGTTTGACTGCTGTCATCTGTTAAGCTTCTTGTATATCTGATTGGTTTAAAATTTCACTAACTTTCCACACTTTTTCTGAGTGCTGTGATTTTGGCACAAGATACTGAACACAAGAGTAATTAGTGCCAGGACATATTTATTTTATATTTTCTTAACTACCTTACCCATTGACAGCATTTAAAAGTAATTATCTCCAGCATTTTATCACCTGATTATTGGAGGCATTCTTTCTGGCTTTTATTATTATGTGATGTACATTATTATTCTAGGCAGTCAGTACCATTCATGGTTGAAATTTTAGAATGCTATGCTAATAGTTTTAATATTCAGTAATCTCTAGTTTTGCAGTTGTATGTACATGTGCTTATATATATTATTTTCTTAAGAAATAAAAACCAAAAGATCTAGAAAGAAAGCTATTAATGAATGTTAGTGGAACTTAAATGGAGTTGTATAAACTGCTCCTTAGTGTGGAGAAAATAAAGAGGTTTTAGAATATAAAAAGGCCAGGGCAATGGTATTTTTAAAAGAAATAAGTTTTATGTATAGTACAGTTAATCAGAATTACACAAACTGCTTTTTCAAAGCAAAAAATGAGTATCCAACAAGCAGTTTGGTACGTTAAGCTATAAGACTGCTCTGAGGTGGCTGTCATCATAGATCTTAATGTCAGAAAACGATTTGGAAAAACCAGCAATTTGATAACACCTTTCCTCTGTGTAAAAATCAGTGTTTCTCTCAACATCATGTGATACAATGTACTCTTCAGTAGCTCTGCAGACTTCATTCTTAGGATAGAAATTGACATTGAAATTTTACATTGTAAAGGAAATGTTAGATACAAATTTTGGAATTGTCATTATGATATTATAAATCCCACTGCGTAATGAGAAAAGTCAGAAATTACTACATATTAATATCAAATAGTTAATATCATGTTGTTTTAAACATGTTAAACAGTTTGCTATTTTTCTAAAGGTTGTTATTTTTCATTATGGTTGTCCAATGTCACCCATCAGTTTTTTAAAATAAGTAACAGCCTATTTCTTTTGTGCTGCTTTCAAGTAGTTAAACTCTCAGTCCCTCCCCACACTTCATATTAGTTCATTGATTTGTAGAGAAAATGAAAATTTTTACTATGGCCTTAAAATTAGAACTTTAGAGTCAGAAAGGCTCTTTGAGGTCATTTAGTCATGTAATCCTTTGCCTCACAGATGAAACAACTTACAAACACACACGTAACCCAGACACCACACAAAACAAAAACTCCACAAAAAAACGTATGCATACCACACAAACACCAAACAAGCACACATACCAGTGAAACACACACACCACACAAACACACACACCACATAATACACACCACAAAAACATGTATACCATACACAATAAGAAGCATACTAAATGGCTGCCATCAACAAATCATCAAACAACAAGGGCTGGCGAGGGTGTGGAAAAAAGGGGACTCTAGTACACTGCTGGTGGGAATGCAGACTGGTGCAGCCACTACGGAAAACACTATGGTGTTTCCTCAAAAAGTTAAAAATTGAACTGCCATTTGACCCAGTGATCCCACTTCTAGGAATATATCCTAAAAAGCCTGAAACACCAATCAGAAAGAATATGTGTACCCCTATGTTCATAGCAGCACTACTTACAATAGCTAAGATCTGGAAACAGCCCAAGTGTCCATCAATAGATGAGTGGATAAAAAAGCTGTGGTACATATACACAATGGAGTACTGTGCAGTTGTAAGAAACAGAGATCTCTTATCCTTTGAGACGACGTGGAGGGACCTGGAGAGTATTATCCGAAGCGAAACAAGCCAATGAGAGAAAGACAATTATCACATGATCTCACTTATTTGTGGAATATAATGAACAAAACAAACTGATGAATAAAATAGACCCGGAGACATAGAAGTAGGGTACAGACTGAGAAACCTCAGAAGGGGAGGGGGGGAGATAAACCACAGAACTTATATGCATGTATGTGTAACCAATGGACATAGACAACAATGCTGGGGACAGGGTGGGTATCGGGAGGAGGGTGTCAATGGGGGAAAAAGGAGAAACATCTGTAACAAAAATAAATTAATAAAAAAAAGAAGCATACTAAACAATCAAACATCACACAAGCACAAAAAGAAACACAAATAATACACACCACAGTAAAAAACACATCACCAAAACACCATACAACACACAAACAAGTGCAATAAACAAACAAGAACACAAAGCACACAACCAGAAGAAAAGCTCAAACATCACACAAGCACACACAAATCACATGAGCACACACACAGTACACAATGCATACAGAACACACATAACAATAACACTACAAAACACACATACAGTTGTCCCTCGTTTATCGCAGTTAATCAGTTCCAGACTCTACCGTGATAAATGAATTTCCGCGAAGTAGGATTCTTTATATAGTACACAAAAACACAACACACAAGTAATCAAACAACAACAACAAAAACAGCACGCAAACACATTATATATAGACACACATACCACATAAACTCTGCAGCAGCACAGACCTCCCAGGCACGCAACACATCACATACACAACACACACATCACACAAGGCCATATTAATGAGAAGAATACTATTTGTTTCCTAAAAACAATTGTTTGTATCTATCAAATCATCATTTATATTTCATTCTTACATTTACACATTCTGGTTTTTTAACTTTCAGTAGATTTCCACAGAACTAAATAATGTGAAACCATTTGTTTAAAAGCCCAATGGATAGCGTTTTCTTATATTACCATTAGCTTATTTGAAATATAATTGTAGAGTATGTCTGAGAAATGAGAAGTGAGCCTGATTTTTCCAAGTCAAAGTAGCTTGTTCTCCCTGAGTTTATTCTCTTTCTCTTAAACCATGTGCTTTTTAAAGACTTTTTGTTGGGTGAGGGGGATGGATGACCACATAGAAACAACACCACCTACCAGCAAGATGTTTCTATTTCTCTTTCCTTCTCCCTTTCTCTCTCTCTAAAATCAATAAAGGGAAAAATAAAAATAAAAATATAAATTTCTGGGCTGTGAAAGTTGAGAGAACAGCTAAATTAATTTCTTTGTTATCATCTTTATTTTTTTCCCCATTAAATTCCATGAGTTTCATTTAAGTTTTATCTATCTATTGCATGTGAATATTTTAGGAAGACGTTAACTAAAGCATATGTGAAAGTATGTACATTATAATTTTTACCCATACATTTGCTCTTTTTTTTTTTTAATATGTTTTTATTGATTTTTAAGGGAGAGAGAGATAGAAACATTGATTGGCTGCCTCCTGCACACCCCCTGCTGGGGATTGAACCTGCAACCCCGGCATGTGCCCTGACCAGGAATTGGACTGGGACCGCCCAGTCCATGGGACAGTGCTCAATCCACTGAGCCACACTGGCCGGGCCCATACATTTGCTCTTTGTCACAGGGATTGTCTTCTGCCTTCAGAATATTTCCAAAGAGCATCATCCTACTTGTTTCTTAAATGCTCACATCTTCCCAGAGTGTTTCACTGCCTTATTTTAAACCAACTCTGTTGCTCACTGTATAAAGAATATAAAACAGAGTGGAATGAGGGAAGAAATCAATTTGGAGACAGAAGAATTCTAATATTGTAACATTAATTAGAAATCTGTAAATTCTAATGGCTGTTACCATTGTACTCTTACTTTTAGGATGAACTGTAGAATATCATAGATCTATAAACTAAACTTTCCAAAGTCTGTAAACTTATATCTCCTCCTTTGATCGCAACCCTCGTGTGTCAGTCAGATTGTGTTAGGCTTGTTGTGATGACCCCCAAGTTTCAGTGCCTTACACAGAACTGAGATGTATTTTTTCATTTCCAGCTGCGTGTTGGCTGTGGCCTTGTCCCAGCTTAGAATTCAGGCCGAAGGATCAGCCCCTGCCTGGGACCCGCTGTTCGCACAGCACAGGGGAAATAACATTAGAACCACAGAAAGGCTCTGAAAGCTTGTCCTTGGAAGGGCCACACGCCACTTCCACTTAATTTTTTTGTTCAAGTCTGGTGTCACCGGGAGTGAAGAAATACAATCCTATCACAGGGAGGGGCACTGAATAACTGCGACAAAAATATATTCTATCTCAGAAGATGGGGTAGCCTGGCTATGATTACGATATTATAAAGCAACCATTATTATGAATCTCATGGGACATGTTAGTCTCAGGAGCCTCATGATAAGAAAAGCTAGAAATAAAAAATAGCAAGTGGTCATTTTAGTCTTCCATCTAGATATTTGTAGTGATTGGCTATGTATTAAGTAAAACTAACTTTTCTTGACAGAGAAGGACATATTACAGTTAGCCATCTCTAGTCCCAGGTGGAGTGGCAGTTTATGTGTGTGTACCAAACTTCTGTTTTTCAGTGAGAAGCCTTGTAGATGACGATGGTGGGCAACCCAATGACTATGACCTGAATGACAGCTTTCTAGATGATGAAGAAGAAGAGTATGAGCCAACGGATGAAGATTCTGACTGGGAACCCGGGAAGGAGGACGGAGAGAAGGAAGATATGGAAGAGCTTTTGAAAGAAGCAAAAACGTTTATGAAAAGAAAGAAGTAACTTTTTTCTGCAATAATACATGGCTCACATTTACTCTTTATAGAAAGATATTCAGGAACTAAGGAGGCACTTAAGTGATAATTGTTTTCTTTTCTATAGTTAGGACTTTATGATGAACTCTTTGCAAATGAAACATTGAAACATCAGCCTTCAGTATAGTGTCTGGAATTTGTTCTGTTGTTTCGCTTCTTCCATCCTGCTTAAAGAATCTAGAAATGGAAAGTAGACAGAGTTAAAGACAAGCACTTGATATTTTTTCATGTACTTTGTTGGTTATAAACACTAAAAAGCCATAGTTTGCACAAAACTTTGGTCGTTTTCTTCTGTTTTCCAACGATTCTGTCTTTATAGAAAACTATGCAGGTATAACCAGACAAATGACATCATAGGTGGAGAAGCATGGCTCTTTTCATTGCTATTGAAGTAATTCTTCAAGCCGGACCAGGCTTTAAAAATGACAGCTGTCCTAAACAGCTATTATTTTTCTGGTGTCCTAGATGCAAGCTTTGCATTTCATTGACTACTTTTGTTCTTTGAAACTTGGGGAAATTAGTCCCAAATGGATATTAAAATGGATTTCACAGGACTATAGAAGGGAAATGTTTTTCTCGTGGGAAATGTTTTGTGCCACATCTGTAACTTAACTGTGTGTCTGAGTTTAAAGGTGGAACAACTCCAAGAATTGGACAGTTGTGTTTCAAATGAAAGTCCTACCGATTATCTTAACTTTCAATGTACTGTCCTTATAGTAAGAATATAGAAATGATTTTTGACCATAATTTTCTCAGATGACCTTAGTTCTTTCATCCTCAGACGAAGGTGGCGAGCCGCCTGCCAGTGTTGGAGAGTCTGCCTTTTATTTGTTCTCCAGTGTCATGGACTTTATCTCTGGATCTCTGTCCTTAAGCTCCTTTAGGTCCCATAACATTCTCATCTTAGGTGACTTAGAATTTTTGAAAATTTAGTTTAAAGTCTTTGATAATAGTTGGGTATATGTACACCATGCAGTAGGTATAGTGTTAAAATAATAAGTCACTGAAACAAAAGTATCCTTGTTAAACACTAATATTTTCTATTCTATGAGAACCTATAAATTTATATCTTAAAAGAGCAATACAGATTTGTAATGGTTTTCTTAGTGTTTTTATTGTTTTAATTAATTTATTTTTTAAATCCTCACCCGAGGATATTTCTTCATTGATTCAGATAGAGTGGGAGGGAGGGTGAGAGAGAGAGAGAGAGAGAGAGAGAAGAGAGAGAGAAACATCGATGTGAGAGACACACCAGTTAGCTGCCTCCTGCATGACCCCAACCAGGGCTGGGGATCGAACCGCAACCAAGGTACATGCTCTTGACAGGAACTGAAACCACAACTCTTTTGTCCAGGCTGTCGCTCCAACTGCTGAGCCAAATGGCCAGGACTCTTAGTGTTTAAATATCTTTCCAAGTAATTGCATACTATTACAATTTATTTAAACTGTGGCAGAGCAAGATAAATATTTCTATAGACTATTAGTACCTATATTCCTACTTTTCCTCTGTTGTTATTTGGGAACTCATTTTTCCCTCCTAATGTCCCTTTAGTCTTGAGAGCTTGACAAGCCTTTGAAAAAAATCTCTGAGCCTATTCTCATCTCCGCACTAACTTAATCCTTAAAGTGTTTCTAATCACAGATATATCCCAAGGGAACTGAGCACGTGTCCACAGAGAAGAACTTGGACACAATGTCCATAGAGCATTACTATTTACATTTACTACAGTAAAAAAGTAGAAGCACCTCAGTGTCCATCAGCTGGTAGATGGATTAAAAACTGTGGAATATTGTCTGGCCATAACGAAGGGGAAGGATTGAAACATGCTACAACGTGGGGAAACCTTGAAAACTGCCAAGAACTCTCACTTGCAACTACCACCTACAAACCCTTCTCTGCTTTCTCCCCTGGTATTATCGAGATATTGTCTGTGTGCTTATTCAAAGCCAGCTCCCCAGAGCCAGTGACCCCTTACATGCCCAAAGATGCAACACTGGCCATGTCTCCCTTTCTCTCCCGATAGACTGCATCACGGAGCTCCTCGGCACCCCCACCTCACCTTCCATTAATTTGCTAGCGTGGCTCACAGGACTCGGGGAAACACGCCAGTTTATTAAAGGACACAAAAGAACAGGGCTAGTTCTGGAAGCGTTCTGGTTGCAGGAGCGTCTGTTCCCACAGAATCGGGGTGCATCACCCTCCCAGTGTGGAGGAGGCTTCCTCACAGGGGCTTTGTCAGTTATTAACTCCATTTCCAGCCCCTTTCCCCTCTCTGGAGGATGGGGGTTGGTAGGGCTGAAAATTCCAAGCTTATTTATTAACCACACGTCAATAAAGTAGAAATAAGAGAAAGATAAATTCTCCCTAGATTAATCTATAAATTCAGTGCAATCCCAATTAAAATCTCAGATGTATTCGTTATAGTTTCACAATCTAAGGTTTTTACAAGTTTACAATTCTAAAATTAGTTTTAGGAAAACAGTACACTAGGCAAATTAATAATTTCTGAACAAGAACAATGGGAGATTTTACTTCCTTGTTAAAATACGTGTATCAAAACAATGGAGCTACACATACTTTTTAAAAATTATGGTATTGATTCAGGAAAAGACACAAATGAATACAACAGAAGAGAGTCTGCAGAAACAGACCCAAGTATATATATAAGTTTAATTTTTGATTAAAGTGTAATTTTAAGCCCATTGTGACAAGTCGAAAAATAAAGAAATTATACTCTTCTCAGATTCTGAAAAAGAAAAATTAAAGAACATACTTTGTGGAAAATAACATATAGGAAGGAAATGTAAACTATTTCCCTCACCTAATGTCGAGGAAAACCATTCTAAGCAAAACCCATACCTCAGAATGCATAAACAAACAAACAAAAAGGGACATATTTTACTCATAAAGATTAAGAAACTTTTGTTTTAATAGAGCAAATATTTATAGCACATGTGATGTATACACATAGAAAGCTGCTATAAACACCGTAAATAAAATGGACAAGCAACATGAACAGGCAATTCACAGAAGATAAACAGTTTGTCAATGTGTATGAAAACTTCAACCTCAATCATACACAGATGCAAATTAAAATGTTAATTTGAAAAAGGAACTCAGTGAATAATGAGCTTAGTATGATTCCATTTATGCTATTAAGGAGTAACTGCATATATTATTTAATATGAATAGAAAAAGACCAGGATACAGATAATTGTTCATAGTACTTACCTAGGAGAATGGAAATGGATGTGGGAGGGGGAGGGGAGTAAGGGTGGAAGGATGGACTGTCAAATTCAATCTACATACTAATGTGTTGCCTGAATCTTATAACAAGAATGTATTCAAGAAAATCATTTAGCCCTGCCCGCCGGTGTGGCTCAGTGGTTGAACGTCGATCCATGTACCAAGAAGTCATTGGTTGAACGTCGATCCATGTACCAAGAAGTCATTGGAACCATGTATCATGATTCCTGGTCAGGGCACATGCCCAAGTTTCTGGCTTGATCCCCAGCAGGAGGCAGCCATGGATGTTGATGTTTCTCTCTCATCCATTGTTTCTTCCTCTCTCATCCTCTCTCTCTAAAGTCAATAAAAAGCATATTAAAAAAAATACCATTTTGCCTGGCTAGTGTGGCTCAGTTGGTTGGGCATTGTCCCATGTACCAAGAGGTTGCCAGTTCAATTCCTGGTCAGGGCACATGCTAGGGTCTCCATCCCAGGTAGGGAGCATGGGGGGGGGGGGAGTGCAGGAGGCAGTGGATTGATATTTCACTCTCCCTTTTTCTCTAAAAAAACCCATTTTACTGGTAGAAACATAGGAGATTTTATGGATTCAAGACATACCCATGTCACGCTGGCCAGTTTGGCTCAGCGGTTAGAGCATTGGCCTGTGGACCAGAGAGTCCCGGGTTCAGTTCCCACTAAAGGCACCTACCTCGGTTTCAGTTGGTCCCGGCCCCGGTTGGGATCGTGTGCGTGGCAGCCAGTCAATGTGTCTCTCTCACGTTGATGTTTCTCAGTCCCCCCTCCACCATACTCTATCTAAAGATAAATGCAAAAATGTCTTTAGGTGAAGATTAAAACAAAGTTTTTAAGGAAGACATACCCATGTCATGGGTGTTAAGCAGTGAATTCTTTAGTCCACGTCTGATGGAGAGAACAGTTTTAGGGAAGAATGTAGAAGTTGAACTTCCCCAATTTTCTCCACATTTCAGGCACTTGCCAAGATAAACCTGTCAGGTCTGTTGGGTGGGGAGTTTGGGTAGTGGAGGTGGAGGGAAGACAGGATGAAGCAGCTGATGCTGAGTCAGCTCCCTTCACCGGAAAGAATCTTCTCGCCTTCTCTGGGGTCTCTTGGCATTCTCCGATGTTCAGCTCAGTCATAAACATGAATGCTCTGGGTTCTCCTGGGCGTCTTAACGCCTGGACTCCTCCAGTGTGTCAGTATCATTAGGTGAGCAGTGAACACCGGTTGCTGTTCTGTATATTGCAGCAGGGCCCGGTGAAAAGCCGGAGGTTTTCATCTCTCTGTACTGCCCCGGGTAAGGAAATGCAGGTGGAAGACTCTGAGCCACCCCTACCTCAGGGCTCAAGTGGGAAGTCCAGAATATCCCCTAGTGTGTCCACGCTAGCCTAATGGAAGTATGGCATTGGAATTCATCCCTTTTGTTTTGAAAGAGAAATTTATTTTCCCAAAACTGAGATTAAGCAAACTGTGTCCAGCACTCCTGCCCAGCATTATATGCTGGAAGAATTTGCCTTCCTTTATGGTGTTGATAACTAAGTGCTAACTGATGGGAGGTAAAATTGTCTTGCAAGTGTGTCTAATTAATAGCCGCAGAGCAATCTGCCTGCTGTTTTCTTCTTAGATGTGGCACTTGGTACTTCGGATTCGTGGTTGACGTCTCAATGGCACCACTCACCCACGCCCACACAACCACCCTGCCACCTGAGAAAGAGAAGACCCATTTGTGACTTAGCAGATTCACTGGTGTGTGAGATAAACAAGTGTCTGGAATGAGCAGTCTGGATATTTATGTAAACATTCCCTAGTCAAGGGTAGATGTTTGTTCGTCCCAAGCTTTGTTTTTCGAACTGTGGCACCCGGGCTATGGTCTGTTTAAACCAGTAAAAATCCTAGCACTTCACCTAAGACATTCCATTTTAACAAAACAGAAATAT